CGAAAATTCCAGCTTTGTATAAATAGAAGAGTTTTGTGAACATAGATTTCATTATTTTAATTCATCAATATGAGTTTAATTATCATTTCTTCTTCTATTTCTTCTGTTTTAAGCATGAGTAGCTAGATTTTCACTAGGGTTGTGACCTAACCCTAGAGTGTAAACTTAATGGGTGTTTAATTTATTGCTTTTTTATGGTTGGGTGTTTATTATTTAGCCTTGTTCTTGCTTTTAATTGTAGAATTAATGGTTGCAAACATTAGTTTATGCCTATTTGACTTGGTCTCTACTTGAGAAAGAGAGACTTAGTCTAAGAAAACTTGGCTAACAAGAAATTGGGGTAAATAAAGAGATTGATAGTCCCAATTAAAGGCTTGAACCTAGAGATAGTAAAATCCGACTTGAGCTTTTTATCAAACGTTGTGTTCAATACCCATTTGGACTTGAGAAAGTCGAATTGGTAAAAATCACTCTCTTACCGAGAGGTATTGAGTGGGTACTTGAGTGTTGATAGCTATAATATACCTCGACCAACAAAACAAGCTTTAAAGTTTACAACCCGTTAGACAAATACCTAGGCGAATGTCATAGCTCTAGGCCTTTTATATCATTTGAAAAACAACAAAAATAATTACCTAGTTCTAATTCTTAGTCGGTAATCTTAGTTTAATTTAGACGAAGAAACAACCCAATTTTGTGAAAGTTCAATTTGAGATAATTCGAGATCATTTACTAAAGTATATACTCCTAAGTCTCATTTATATCTCCATGTGGAAAATTAACCCTGACTCCTTGTTGGGTATTACTATTGTATCGACCGTTTCACTACCTTAAATAGAGGTGTGACTTGGACGAGATCACCCCTCCGGAGTTTGACATGCCAACAGTGGGCACTGGAACAATTACGTGCTTGGTGATGGACAGTTATGCAGGCACCCGTACAGTGCTAAGTGTAAATATTCTTTATGGATCCACTATGATACTATTGATTACATGTATACTTGACATGTAGGCATACAGATGTACTTTCCTCATGCTAATTGATAATATCCCTGTTGTATCTGTGTTGGGCTTTAACTGTTATACTTAAAAGCATGCCTAAGTTTCTGAAATGTGAACAAGATGAACTTGATATCATTGAGCTACTGTCTCTATGGTTTATCCTTATATTTCGAACTGTTATCAGTTATCGGTTTTGGCATTTGACTATTGATCTGAGCTCGTCACTGCTTTTAACCCAAGGTTGGTGTTTTTACTTATTGAGTACATTGGGTCAGTTGTACTCATACTACACTCTGCACTTCATGTGTAGATCCAGTTACATCCGGCCGAGGTGATTTCATGACTTGAGTTGTTCCAGCTTTTGGGAGAATACGAGGTAGATGCCATATCATCCGGAGTTCTTGAAGTTCTCTTCCTGTTACCTTTATCTTTGTTGTTCTTATATCCAGACAGTTGCATTATAGGATTTTGCTTGTACTTTGTTATTCAATAATGCTCGTGTACTTATTGACACCTGATTTTGGTGTTGGTTGTAGTGGCATTTTGGTTTATTCTCAGATATTTTTATGATATTCTTCCACTATTGAGTTATTAGACCATATGTTATTCTATTTTTTTTTATATCATGTGATTATTGGCTTACCTAGCGGGTTGGGTTAGGTGCCATCACGACTTGTGAATTTGGGCTTGTGACAGTGTTGAAATAGATGTTAGGGGAAAAGGAGAAGAAAAAGCGGCTGGATCTTCTTCACCCACTCTTGACTGAAGAAATATGGGCAATGGTGTTATGGAGTGAAGAGAGTGTTGATGAGAAAGAAATTGTTGAAAAAGAAGGAGGTAGTGGTTTTGGGGACACTACTGCAGCAGAGGGGGTGGTTAGGTTGAGGAAAAGGTTCCAAGAACCTATTCCTTCTAGGAAAGAACCCCTTCATGATCTGCTGCAGAAAGTTTCTGATAGTTAAAACCCCAAAAAAGAAGAAGATTTTTGGTGTGAAAACCCCTGAAAAGGGTATGGGTGGCTAGAAAAGAAAGGATGCCTCTTCTATCCATGTAAAGACTCCTCCTACAAGAGGAAGAATGACAAGGAGCCATAAGAAGCAGAGTGAGGCTAACTTGAAAAGGACCTTAGCTGAGAGTGCCATGAAAACCGCTTTAAAAGGAAAGAAAAGGCTGGTAAGCCAAGTGAAGTGGTTCAGATTGAGAAAATGGACCCGGTTCTTTAAAATGGAGATGAGGATGTGGAATAACTAGTGCTAAAAAGAGAAAGACTTCTCAAGAAACAGAGGCGAGGTAGAGGGCTCATCTGTGTCTAAAAGAACTAGGTCTGCCAAAAGAAGCAAGAATGCTCAAATAGTGGAAGAAAATATTGAAGGATGTTAAGATTGAGAGGCTGCACAAAGGGCTTGCTGAAGTCGAAGCTGAGAAAGATTCTCTCAAATCTGAGCTGAAAAAAGAGAAGGAGAAGAATGATGGCATTCTCCAGGATATGCTGAAACTGCTTGAGGTAAAAAATCAAGAACCTGGTCATTCCCAATCTTAAACCCTTCTTAGCCTAGTAGTAACCGGTCATTTCTAAGACTGAAGTGGGATTTTTCTTCTGTTTTTGCTCACAGTTCTTTTAATTCGATACAACACGCAAAACCTTACCAACCCTTGACGTATGAACAAGAAAACCTGTCCTTAATGGGATAGTACTGCATGACTGTCGTCAGCTCGTGTCGTGAGATGTTTGTCATGTGTTGTTTTATTTTTCTTACGCTTTGGATCTTATCAATCAATAAAATGTAATGCTTTTACTCAAATTCTTTGATGTTGATATTTCTTAGATGGATTATATCCTTAGATTGAAAAAGATAATATTGAATCCATGATTACATTTGAAGTAGACCCAGTGTCCATGAGTAATATCTGGTAAAATCTGGTTACCTGACTTAACTATGCAACTTTTTGACGATGCCAAAAAGGGAAAGATAAGGTGTTCTTTTGCTTTGGAGTGTGATGTTTATAACCTAATGAACCTGGTCCTTGATGATTTGTGACCTTAAATGGAAAGTGTTCTGACATTGTGTTTGATGTTGAGCTAAGTTGAAACTGGTTTCATGCTTCCATGCTTTCTTCTGAAAAACACAAAGTTTTGTCATCATCAAAATGGGGAAATTTGTTGACTTGAGCGATTTTGATTTTGATGATTGACAAGTGAACACATGCATGAACCAGGTCCATGGATAGTGTACACAGATCACGGTCAGATTTATGCAAAAGGCATGCATGTACAAGAGATAAGTATACGTGGTTATTTCTGATATTCCCTGAACGAATAGATTGCATAATTGATGAGTAACAAGACCCTTACTTGAAGAGAACTCTATCTAAGATAAGGAAACAGTTAGAAGTTGAAGATAATTATAAATCTTCCACCAAGGAAGAGTAAAGCATCAGGTTTCTAGTTAATCCTAATACTACTAACTTTATATATATTAGTCGTATTCTCTTTTACAGGCGACACACACACGCTGAAGTTAAGAAAGAATTAAGAGCAAAATAGCAAGGCATTTTTTGAGCAATTCCTATGAGTTTCAAGAGTGCGAACCTGAAACTACATGAACTAGATTGAAGAACCAGTTCCATGTGTCTATCTTTTTCTAGTTCAATTGTAGTACGAGCTTTTGGGTTGTACCTTTCAGCTTTTCTTTAGAAGCAATTGTATTAGGTACTTGAGTTGTATTGTTTAGGTTAAAGTTAACTTGAAGCAGTTGCAACAACCCGAGACTTAATCTTTAGGTTTGCAAGAATTTGTAAACATTGTTGTTTGGCTTAAAGTTGTAGTGAAGTGTTGAGAAAAATCCTACTGGGAAGTAGGTCTTCGTTTTTTCACCTTTTGAGCCGAGTGTTTTCCACGTAAAAATACTCGTGTTCTTTAATTTCTGCATTATTTATTCTGCGATAGTAGATTAAGGAACGCATAGAAGAACCGGATCCTCTATAATTGAGTGCACGCGAAAATTAGACACCACACAAATCACCCTCTCTTGTGTGGTATTGAGGTATAAAACATTAACGACAACTCCAAATGGTGCCCTTGTTTACCTATGGTGAGCATTGGTGTATTACATCTTACCATTCTGCTATCAAAACTACTCCTTATGAGGTTATATATGGAAGACCTCCTCCCTTACATCTTCCCTACTTGCTAGGAGAGTCGACTTCAGTTGAAGTTGATAATACATTGCTAAATAGGGAGCTGGAGTTGCAATTACTCAACATCATTTATTGAGAGCTCAGGTGAGAATAAAGCAATTAGCTGATTCTCATAGGAGTGACAAATTGGGTATATTGAAGATTCAACCTTACAAACAGGCTACTATCTCAGCACAACCATTTCACAAGTTGGTTGCAAAGTACTATGACCCCTTCTGGATTTCCAAGAGGGTAGGACCAATTGCGTACACACTCTTGTTCCCATCATCAGTGAAAATACACCCTACAATTCATGTGTCCTTACTGAAGAAATGCTATCAGTTGCCTACTCAAATTGTCTACCCCCTAGCACTGATATTGCTAGCCCACATTGCCCAAACCCAGAAACTATAATGCAGAGAAGAATTGTAAAAAAGAGAAACAAGGTTGTCGCTCAAGGCCTGATTAAATGGGAGGAATTGCCAGCTGATTGTGCCACTTGGGAATTCCTGACTGTACTGCAGATTCGATTTCTTCACTTTGATCTCTGTGGTCAAGGATCTTCTGCAGGAGGGAGTATTGATACACGAAATACAACCCAAATTCAGCAAGTTACAGTTGCAAGTTCAAGTTCCTAAAATCAGTTAATTAGCTAGAGTGCCACGTCAGTTGAAGTTAGTTGTGGCAGTTTGTTAGGATAACAAATTCTATTAAACAAATTGTACACATTCATTCGTATAAAAACATTGTATCATACATGGAAATGAATAAGAAGATGTTACAATTTTCCTAAACTTTCTTCTCTCTCAAATTCTCTCAATTTCACAATCTTCTTCATCGCCATTACCGAAATTCTCGAGTTTCTCCGCTAAACTCCTGAGTTAGTTGCTCGATCCTCGAATTCTTCAGCAATTCAGCTATCAAAAGTTTACAAATCTTAGTAAGACTTGTGTATTAAAATAAGATCCATGACTATTTCGTTACAAATTTCTTAAGCAGGTAAAAGACTTGAACACCAACATGGAAGTATCCAATTTCTGCAAATCTCCCTGCAAATAAGTGGCGGGAAACCTAAGTAAAGCCATTATTGCCAAAACTAACGCGCGTTATTCTTGGAGCGAGCGAGCATTTGAAACTTGTTTTTCCCATACTACTTTCCCTTTTTCTTTTCCACTTTTCCCTTTCAATTTTATCGAGAAATAAAAGGCAATCAGCCCCATTTCTTTTTGTCATTCTTTGCTCTTTTTAGTCTTTATTTTTGGAGACTAGTTACGACTGTCCCTGCCACCCTTTGGTTCTTCCATATCTGTCTCTTTCTTTTTCCAGTTCAGAACACCCACACCCCAATATCTCACCCCCTAGTTCATACACCCACTTTGTCAGTATATATATAGTTGTATGTATACTTTGCTTGGGCAAGAGCTGTATAAGAAAGAAATTCAGATACAGAGAGTTAGAGGTGTACATGCTCAAAGATTCAAACTTTCCTTTTGTGTCTTCCACATAAGAGCTTCGAAGATCCACCTTAGTCTTGAACCTCTCAGGTGTTTTCTGGGGCAAGAAAAGACTCCATTTTCTTTAAAGGGTCTTTGAGTATTCAGTCTTTGCTAATGGTAGCTACGTGGGAATCCAGTCAGGTAAAGAATTGGCCTTTTAACTTTTTCTGTCTAGGTAATTTGGCACCATATTATGTCCTTGCACAATTTTTGAACTGTGCTTTCATCTGAAACCAGTAGAAAAATTGCTGCAACTTCTAATGCAACAGCAGTTATTGGTAATGAGATAGTGGAAATAATTAGCAAGTTCCAATTTTGGTTCTTGGAATGTGCTAAGATGATCTGTTTATTTACAGAAGTTAGAGCACAAAGATTGGATTTTGGGCATACCCATTTGAAAATGTCTTGGATTCAACATAGAGAAGGTGGTGTCTTTGCATATTCCCCTCATCTATCTCCCCCATCTCATTCTTCATTTGGTCCAACTTCTAATCTTCACAAAGAACCAGGCCATTCATCCTCTTCTGGCAACAAAATTAGTCCAGCTGTTCTTATCATTATAGTCATATTAGCTGTTATCTTTTTCATATCAGGTCTTCTCCACTTGCTTGTTAGATTTCTTATCAAGAAACCTTCTTCTTCAGCCTCACCACAGACTAATAGAAGCCTTGAAATTTCTAGCTCTGAGGCTCTGCAAAGACAGTTGCAGCAACTTTTCCATCAACATGACTCTGGTCTAGATCAAGCGTTTATTGATGCATTACCTGTCTTTGTTTACAAAGAGGTTATGGGTCCTAAAGAACCCTTTGATTGTGCTGTTTGTTTGTGTGAATTCTCTGATAAGGACAAGTTGAGGTTACTGCCAACTTGCAGCCATGCTTTCCATATCAATTGTATAGATACTTGGCTCCTAACAAACTCAACGTGCCCACTATGTCGAGGAACCCTTTTTGACCCCAGATTCTTATCGGAGAGTCCAATCTCTGATCTTGATGACCCTAAAGAAGATGACGGATGTCATGTCAATAGAGATCATGGGTTATCTGCTGCTCAGAAAACAATTGAAATAGAGGAAATTGCAGTTGATAAAGCAACCGTTCCTGTTAGACTTGGTAAGTTTAGAAAATTGAATGTTGGGGCAGAGGAGGGAGAGGGAGAGACTAGTAGTAGTAACTTGGATGCAAGGAGATGCTATTCATTGGGCTCATATCAGTATGTAGTTGGTGAGTTTAATCTTAAGGTAGACTTGAGCAATGAGCAAAATGCATGCAATGTGAAGCTTGCCAAGTTGCATGAACGCTGTGCCAATTTATCAACTGAAACGGATGGGGAGGGGAAAAGGATAAGTATTGGAACGAAGACTGATAGCTACTCTTTTTCCAAGATTTGGCTTTGGTCGAAGAAGGGAAAATTTGCAAGTTCTTCAGAATGCCAAATGGGGAATCCACCTCCTAATATTGACTTACCATGGTTGGCAAAAACAGAAAGCAATTAACGGACATTCTGATTCGCTTCTCCTTGTTGATCTTTCTGTTATCTGATGGCATAGAGGTTAGTCCTTAGTTTGGAATTCTCTGAGATGCTGTATGAACAAAGTGCTAACGTGGTAACAAGCTCGACAGTACAGTTGATGGCTTTTGTTTTATTTTTTGTCTCTTTGAAGTCCTACAAAATATAGTTCATGTGTTATCTATTGATTCTTGAAATGCTATTACTCTATTTTACACGACTCACATGACATTGGTTTGTTTGCTGCATCCTGATAATTTCAGCTGTCAAATTTACTTCATAACAATGTAGTTGAGAAGCATTCATATGGTAATAAGTTTGAGGTGCTATCTAACCCATGAGAGCTAGGATCAGAGTTGATGTACAATATCATTGTCGGTGTTATGAACAACCTTTAAAAATGACCAGAATTGGAATATAGCCCATTTAGAAGTATGCTGTCCTGAACCACAAAAAGGTCATATTCCAAAACTATGAGGAAAATACAACGGTCAGAAACAGACGCTTGGTCTGTTGTTCTCCAATCAAGATTCTGTAATCTACTATTTCGTTTTACCTTTCTTTTCTGAACACAGTGAGTGTCAGAGAAGTGAAACTCCACTAGGTTATCTTGATTCCTAGAAAATAAAAGATTCTCTTGTTTTTCCTGAAGCATCTTGATATATTTGTGGTCTTCAGTTTCTTTTTCTTGTTTTTCATTGGATGAAAGGGGCATGGGGTAGGGGTGTTTGACCACAATCTTTTGTGTTGAGACAGTGGTGGGATCCAAAGCAGTGGGATTACCTTTGCTGAAAATCAGTGGCATCACTTATGGGTTATTTCACTTTATTGAAATATGACCTAGTTAGAAACCATCGTGCTATTTGTTTTTAAATTCCAGTAGTTGTGCTGCTAAGTAACATTAATCAGTGTTCCCTTTCCATATGTAGTTAAAGCAAATGGATTCTTGTCTCCTTATGTGCTTTTGGGCAATTTTCACTTCATGAGTTGCTTTTGGGGTGATGTTAGGTCCAAAATCCATCTTTTAGCTTCTAAACACTTGTAGTGTAACTCGCAAAGATAATTAATTTATGGAAATTATTCATAATCAATGCAATTAGTAACTTGAAAATTAAGGCAGTAGCCGTGTTCCTTAGGTTAATTTGCACCAATTGTGTAAAAATGCATTCAAAATTTCAAGAATAATCTTCCACCCTGCCCGCCAACTATCCCTACTGAGTGGTTTTGAAGAAATATACCACTTTAACATGATAATGGGAAAAACATAAAAGATACAAGAAGACACAAATTTTTTATTTGTTTACAGAAGGTAGCATACTCCCACAGGAAAAACACAAATCAAACCTGTCTTGTTGCAGTTAGTTCAAGAATGAGCTCGTTCAATGCTTGCCAGGATGATCCCCCTTCTTTGACTGCATTAATGGAAGCTTCCCCAATCTCCTTCACTTTCTTCCTTGCCTCTTTACCTTTGTCTCCTTCCATCAATTCCCTTATCGGCTTTACCAAACCTTCCCACTTCACGAACCCTTTGACTGACCCATCGCATGTCTCGACCCTTAGTGCAATCTTGATTTCCTCCACTACCATCCTTGCATTTAAGTGTTGCTCCGCCATCATTGGCCATGCTAGTATTGGCACCTTTGCACATATGCTCTCTATCACCGAGTTCCAGCCGCAATGGCTTAGAAAACCTTGAACACTCCCGTGGCTCAGAACTTCTCTCTGATCAACCCACTCTGTCACCACCAATCCCTTGTTTTTCACTCTGTTTTCAAATCCATCATTGACTTCTGCTAGATTTCTTCTGACTACCCACAAAAAGTTCACTTCCGATTTCTCCAATCCAATTGTAATTTCCTTGTATTGTTCAAAAAATACTTGCGCTTGGGTGCCAAATGCCACGTACAAAACTGATTTTCCCTGTTCTAGCATTCCGTCAAGCCATTTGATGTATGAAGGTTTCTCTAAGCTTTCCGATTGTGCTTTTTGTGGCTCGATCGCTGCACAAAATGGTCCAACGCAGACTGCTCTTGGACTATATTTACTATTAAAGTGGTCCACATAAATAGACTCAAGCTGGTAGAAATTGTTAATAAGTAGAGCATAGCTTTTAGAGTTGGCAATGCTTTGCTCAACAGCAAACTCAAAAAAGAGACCCTTGGGTTCACGCTCTCTGAAGGGTGAATCAAAGTCATTTCTTGTGAGCTTAATCCATGGGAAATCAGGGACTGCAAAAGGCTCATCATCGGACGGACAATTCTGTCCGAAGAAGTCCACTGGAGGAACGAGACATTGACATGGAAAAAGTGCTAATTCCATAATAAGAGAGTCTTGGTATACCAAATTTGTTTGCAGAGTCTAAAGTCCATCCGAGGAATCCATCAGTGATCATGAAAGTAACTGACGGAAGAGATTCTAAGGCCTTTTCGAAATTGGGTTTCATGAATTTGGTGGCGGTGGCCAAGTGTGGAAAAAGGGACATGGATGGGAGTTTATCAGTACTCTCCACACCTGGGGGAATTCCTTGTATGTTTTCAGGAAAAGGGATGTCGATGATATTTATGTTTGTGTCGGAAAGGGAATTGGCGAAGAAAGGACGATTTGCAGGAGTAGTGAAGATGGTGATTGAAATTTTGCGAAGGAGTAGAAGGCGAGCAAGATCGAACATAGGAATAGTATGGCCTTTGGACATGAAAGGGAATAGAACAACGTGAATAGAAAAAGCCATTTCTCTACACTTTCTTGCCTGCTCTTGAGCTTCTTGATGTTTGATTGTTAAATAGGGATGGCAAATGGGGCGGGGCAGGGTAGGGCGGGGCAGGCAAGCCTTGACCCGTTAAAATTTTGACCCGCCCTGCCCCGCCCCGTTTAGCCTTTTGTCAGAATTTTGCCCTGCCCCGTCCCGCCCTATTAAGCCCTGCCCCGTTTAGACTATTTTTTTTTCATTTTTTTCTCTTTATTTTTTATTTTGCAGTATGCCTTTAATTTCTTTTACCTTTTCAACTTTCTATTTAAATATTTAAAATTGATATGTCAATAAAACTTGTTTGTGCATATTGATTGAATAAATGTAAATATTTTATTAATATTATATAATTTATCAAAGACTAAATTTTTCCTTATATTAATGTTCCACTCCAAATAATAACTAATAGTTTAAATTACTTCTGGAACGGTTAGTTTCCTTTAGTTATCATACTTCTTCTTAAGTTAGTGAACTGTAAAATTGCATGACGAAGCATCACTTCCATTAATTTCCTCTATTTTTTTTTTTTAAAATACAACATCAGTTTATTAGTTTCACTACAATAATAAGCACACCATAATTTTTTTTATGCAATGTCTTAGTTTAACAATATTAGGATAATCAAGCGTGCGCATAATCTGAAGTTCTCTGTTGTTGTATCTCCTATCCCGTAAGACTTTCTTTATAGCAACAGATTCACGAGTTATACTACAACTGTAAATTACTTGCTCCAACCAATGTATAAATTTTTATCATTATTCGCTAGCATAAAGTAGAATCGTTAATAAACAATTTGATATTTTATAAAACTATTATATTTGCAATTATGCTACTAGTTAACAAATGTTAGCAAGCAAACAAAACAAGTTTTTAATTTAAAAAAGAAAACAAAACGACAAGAATATTTTGAGGCACCAAATATGTTGAGGCTAAAATAGCAAGAGAAGTAAGCACACACAAGTGAGTTTGAGCTAAAATCCTGCCCTACCCCTGCCCTGCCCTATTTACTATTTTCTGAAAATGTGTTTTGCCCCGCCCTGCCCCATTAAGGTTTTGCCCTGCCCCGCCCCGCCCCATTTTCCATCCCTATTGTTAAAGCCAATTTCTCTACGTACTTTCTGCCACTTCGATTTAAATATTGGGCACAGTCCCTTCCCATCAGCTTAGTATTAAAATAAGTTATCTACAGTTATATATATATATATATATATATATGTATATATATTTCTCCCCCTCGAATAGATTCTTTTTTTTTTGTTGTTGTTTCCAAGGAAATGTTGTTACGTTGTTTTGAAGGGTGCATTAATCCATTGAATCCGATACCAACGAGTATCAACCCCCAAAACTACGTTCTCTTTCAGGTCTTTCAACCAATCGATACTACCTGAAGAGTCGCTTTTGCTAAAACTCGAGCAGTTTCTTGAAAACTCGCTTCAGATATGAAACTGTGTATCGAGAGCAAGGGCGAATCCAGTGCATTAGGTACGGGTTCCCATAAACCCAGTGTCACACCTCCTTTTTTTTACCCAAAACGGGGTATAAGGGAGTTTTTCCAATTTAAGTGACATAAATTGAAATGAGATTTTTTTATTTTATTTAGAGTCGCCACTTGGGATATTTATTATTGTGTCCCAAGTCACCTGTTTATATTAAATCCCAAATCGAGGAAATCGACTTCATTTAAAAGTCTGCGAAATCAGAAAAACTAGGTAAGAAATTCTGTTAACCCGGGAGAAGGTGTTAGGCATTCCCGGGTTCCGTGGTTCTGGCACGGTCGCTTAACTATTAATAATTGTCCTAATTATCTGATTAATTACAAGTTTAAAACCTATTGTGCATTTTTACCTTTTAAACCGCTTTTAATTATTTATGGAGTTATTTTGGAACAAGTCACGATTGTCGTACACTTGTTTGTTTGGAACACATTGCAAACCACGCTACATGAAATGCACCCGCGATTCGCGATATGTTTATTTTATTATTATTCAAAGTTGTTATGATCGAGTCACATGAAATGCACACCCGATTTGGAAATTTTGCATCATAACTATGTCACGGGAGCCGTACCCATAGTCACGATGATTTATTATCACGCCTAAAGCAAAGCTACGATGTTTAGATTTTTCTAAGCTAATTTGATTGTTGTAAAATTTCATGGCAAACGTATAAGGATAAAATTCAATTACTTTTGGGCATAGTCTAGCATTAATGACTAGGGGCCTAAAATATAAGAAAAAGGGCCCAATTGGCTATTTGGTAAAGCTGACCCAGTCGCGATTCTTAAATGACTGGGCCTATTGTAGTTCTGTTTTTAGCCATAAAAGGGAAATAGCCCAGCATGCACTGGTTAAGCCCAATTTCGGTTCACACATAAGTAAAAATCAGAGAAATTATTTAAGTTTTAAAATTAACTACACTACTGTGATTTCCAACACTTTAAGTAAAAATTTGGAATTTTTGTTTAAAGTTCAAAG